CTATAGGATTTTCGTTCATTTTTTGCCGATAAAACGACAATTTTTTGGGGGGTCCAGTTTTTAACTGGTGCGGAGCACTCCCACCCAAAATGCGAGTGAGTAACACTCGGCTACCCAAACCTGACAGCCAGGCCAATCAAAAAGCAGCTTGTTTATTGCCGGTTTTTTTCGACGTATTAAATTACGTCTTGTATGTCTTCTACTACACTGCAAATCTTAGGATTTATCAAGCTATACGTATTTGTTTTACTCGAGGGGAGGATTCACAAAATGAACGACTAATACTAAAATGTTTGCACTATCCAGCAATTGACTTTTAAAGAGTCCATAGAGCCGGGTGGTAGAGCACGGTAGAGTCGTCTTCAGCATTTGCACTCTGGTGATACAGTGTTGTCGGAAATATGATGTACGAATTGTCGGTGTTGATCGCTCTTGGCGGCGGCGGTGGCGGCGGCGATAGTGGTGTTGGTGGTTGTCGCTGTTGCTGTCACTGTCGTCAGTAAACTAGCTCAGATACAACCCGCCATTTTCCGTGTACCATAAAGTAAGTCATACACGCAGAACACATTCATAGAATTTGATTGAAAATACCCTGAAAATAAATACGACTATCGTGGCGGGCAGTTTATTGACGTATATATGCAAATGAGTACGCATTATGAATACATTAAGGTATAAGAGAGTGCCATCTTGCGATTGGTTTACTTGAGACAGTCATTTCATTCCAGTGTGCTAGTTCTTCGCCGTCAGAATCGGGGCCTAGTAGAACGCGGCCAAGAACCTGTATAAACAGAAAGAATTAAAATTGCATGTGCATGTTGTTGTTGTGCCTGTCAGATGCTCCCGTCACGGGATTTTTTCTCTCCGAGTCGAATTTGCTGTAAATGGGACTCTAAATAACAAGCTTTTAGGAGGTCACGTATTAGTTCCATAAGTTGTTTTTCAATTCAGTAATCATCATTTTCGACATCAAAGAGATTTTTTCTACGAGTTGTATTGAGAGAAGAATTCTATTCAATATACATATTTATCGTGTAGTAAAAGTCACTAAATTATATTTCGTTCTTTGAATGTTGCAACCACGATAAGATTCATATCACCATGCCATAATATGTCTAGACATAGTCAAGTAATATTACCGTAGAAGCAAATTGGGTAAAATAGTCTGATGAACCATAATTATGTTTCGATAACATAGACGCATATCATTGAAAGTAACACAAGTTCAATAGACCTCAAAATAATCGCCGATTTTTTGTTGTTGAGAGCGAGAGGGACACGCGACTAAATAATGTTCAATTCTCTACCTTGTCACCAATCTGTGACACGGCAGCATTGACTTATCTATGTCCGTATGTGTTAACTTACCCGTGCAATATTACTTTTATCATCTTTGTTATACACCAAGAATTAACAGTACATTGTATTGTGCCACTAGATTGGCTACAACCGCCCTCACGTCTATAATCAGCTAGCGTGCAGGTGAAACTACTAATGAATTTATTTAATAGATGTATGAGGTTCCACTGATGAGGCAACTAGGTATTTGGACGCCTTGACAAATGGAACACTTGGCTCCTGCTCACGACAAGATAACGGCGACCATTTAGATCAAATTGAGTGTTACATAACTATAAGAAATTATGAAGCGTCACTCGAGGGGCAAAAACCAAATAATTCGATCAGTACTATTTATTATTAATGTTTTCCTTATTTTACATCGCTACTTCTAGCTATGAAACATGGCCACTGTGCAATCGAAACATCGCCCGGTTGAACGAACTACTTCTTACCTTAAATTGTAAAAAAAAAAAACAGTTTCTGTTGATGTCAGTACCGAAATCACGGAAAAGAAATAATCAGATCAGTTAAATAATCAGTGATTGGATGAAAGTCAGCTGATTGCGTAATGACAAATCGTGTTACCCATTAAAATAATAGTTGTTTAATAATAACATTATTATTTTTACAATTTTAAGGTAAAAAAACGAACGGGTCGTTGAAACGGGCGATGCGTCACTTTTACTAAGGCTGCCGAGTCTCATAACTCTGGTACTTATTGATAGAACTACCGATGAAAAATCGGAAAAAAATAATATAATAACGGTACTTATCGATTTATTTGAATGTTCAACCCCTGAGCGCCTGTGGTGCGAACGTGTCTGACCTACCTCGTTTTGACCGATTCTGTTTTCGTGCATTATATGGAATTCTAGATACAGATGTTTGAGAAATTCTTGTCCTACACTAAAGACCATTGCTTCATTGAACACGGGATTTACAGTATGGTGTTTAGTGGAAGTTTTTTTCTTTTTCAATCGTTTTCCGGCGTAGAATATCGATACTTTAACGTAGGGGTCTGTTGAAAAAAAAATATACAGAATTTACTGGAATTTGAAAAAAAAAAAAAAAAAATCTTATGATGCAGGTAACGGTATTTTGGAATATGTGAACAATATGAGTAAATCTGGTATTAAATTCTGTGGACCACCCATAGGGCTCTATGTTTCGTATAATTTATCATTGGAAATATTATCCAATAACATTCTCAAATTTAATTAAGAAGAACCTTTTAAAATACAGTAAAGTTGCCTCGAGTGATTACAACAATAACAATTATGTTTAATTTGGTGATTAAACACAATGATTTTGTCGAGTGCAGATTAGATTCAGCGTTCCAATATTTCTAGGTGTGTTGTCATACCAACAGATTTTATCATTCCTCTTGGTGATCACAATAATCAGTGGGAGGGGCCATGTATACTATACAAAGCGAGAATTCAACTTTTAGGATATGTGTCATTGGTGAATATACTTTCGAAAGCGCTAGTTCAAAGTGTCGTCACTTTCATTTATTTTTAAATATATATTTATTTCACAATAATGCAACAATAAACAGTAACATCCACTAGAACTGATTTCTGGCAAAAACTCAAATATCTTTTAATAATCAACTTTCCTATTTCAGTTGCCGATTTATGGGGACTCGTGTCCCCTAAAATCGTCATTACAAATATATCCCACAATACAATGCGGCAATAAAATCGGTGTAAACGTGCGCCCCTAACTGAACAATCTACATCTACCCCTGTTCTTTATTCTCAGAGTCGTTTGACGTGACGAAAATAAACTCGAGAACGTCCCTTAGTGTATCAAATTGTTTCTCCGACTCGAAGCACAAACATAATTATGTAGTACATCAGTCTCATTTGTTGATACGGTCATGACCATTTCGGTAATTGGATGAGATTTGTTATATGATTCGGAGAATTTTTAATATCTGAATGATTTAATTGCACAACTGGGCAGTAAAAGTAAACCCTGAAAAACAATATTTGGTGACTTCCACGTCTCGCTAGCTGAAATTCGGTACAGGAATGGGAATGTTCTAGGAACACAGGGCTACCCGGATACTGATTGTGAAATATACACGATTAAATGGACCATTAGCTGAGATCTGTTACATAATCCGTATATCAAGACACGAGATTGATCATGTTGTGTTGTGTTCAGAGCAAAAGGATAATTACGAAAATTAAAAAAAAAAGTCATGTTACCATGAATTCTATGCTTCCATCGGAAATCAATCAGTTAAGAGCGGAAACCCCGCTTTATGTTGCCCGGCAACATCAGAGAAGACAGTAGGATGGCTACTCACCTGACGTCATCTTTCTGTCGTCCACGGCGCGGAGGTTTCTGGCCTTTAACGCAACCACAGTCAGCCGTTCTGCGCTCGGTAGGTATGCTAATGAGAACATGAGGTCTCCGACAAAGGGCCCTTTAGTGCGCTGAAAAAGAAAAAAGAAATATTCACCATCCATTTGTCACGACTCGTGGGTGTGCGAACTGGTAACCATGGAAACACAAAATGAGCTGAGCTCGGATAATGATAATTATCCGGGGGATTCAAGAAGATGTGCAGAGTCTATAAACTAATGGAACCAGGGGACATTTGGAGGAAAATTGGCGGCTCCAAGTGTTTTGCACTTAACGCAACTGTCGCTTGACCTTCAACTAACAATAAGCATCAAACATCATTTGGTGGTAGTTCATCACGTGACTATGGAATAATTGTCCTATCGCACACTAACGTTGCACAGTGTTCAGTGAAGCATATTATAAAGGTTATCCAACTATCAAAGTAACGGGCAATAATTGTCCTATCGCACACTAACATTGCACAGTGTTTAGTGAAGCCTATTATAAAGGTTATCCAACTATCGGGCAATAATGTTATTTCTTAAGTTGTTGGGAAGGAAATTGCTCTTCCCGTCTTCCCAATTTAAAACCTAGTTGATACAATCTGTAAATTGTGTGTGGATTTGTCCAACAGCACCACTACTTGACGCTGTGATGTAAGTGTGGCCCGGCGAATGTATTGCTAATATTAAAATAATCGATCATAATAAGAAAGTTTTAGCTGGCTGCTGTTTTATATACATTTTGTCATAAGTGATCGATATTTACGATTTATGATGTTTTACCATTCGGCGTATTGTCATCAGATCGATAATTATTTTGCCTTATCGCTTGAAGTATTGTCAATAAAGTGACACTGTGTGTGTGTTGGGGGGGGGGGTCGGACGGCCCAAATATGTATTGCCTACGTAGTGTGGTTGAATGCTACGACGGTCCAGACTATGCTAGACAAAGAGTTGCGGAAATGTACTACGAATACAAAAGACAACTCCAAAATTTGCATCTTTAATTGCAGAAATGTGGTTCCTTTCTATCAGTGCTAAATAGGAAATGTAGTCTTCTTCCCACTGAAAAATATCCTTATACTGGGCGCCGACAGTTTCCGATTCGGATATCCCACTATCCCCTGTTTTTGTATCACGTTTCGTCCTTCCTCGAATGAGTTGTCATAAAAATGAGTTCCGTTCCTCGTATTTTGTATCATAGCGACTGAATGTGAATCTACCCTACTTTTCAGATCACTGAATTGAATATTTTGGAGAATAAATATACTTATTCTTGAATAAATGATCGTGAAGGAATGACATTTTAAAAGTAAACACATTTAAGAATTAATGATCTCATTTGCAATTTTTCATGAGTGATCAAATCGACGAAGTGTCACATGAGCGTCCATTAATGACAGTGCACAGTACCACTAAATGAGGTGACCCATAACAGTGAACCCTTTTTGTTGTCAACGTAAACTGGGCAAGCGCCATCAAACCGTCGTAGTCGTCGTACGGCGTCGCGTTCGATATGGGTCACATGCGTCGTATACAACGTTTACATAGAATAAGATAACACATTTTGAAGGCAAGAAGTTACTTCACTGAGCTAGTAGAATAGTCGAAGCCGTACAACACTATAAATAACCCAGAGTTCTCTATGATGTGTACCAGTGGACATTGATTTATCTCAAATTGTTTACACGCTTACTTTTTTTAACCCTATTTAACCCAATTTAATTCCGTAATTGTTTTTCAAGATGTCAAAATATAATTACCAACATAAGTACTCGCCCTCATCACCCGACAGCTAATTTCACATTTCTTTGTTTCATCAATTTAAAGCTGAAGGGTCGTCATCTGCGCACGCGCAGGAATTGAATCCCAAGCGACGATAACAACACACGCTAAAAACGCAAAGGCTCGTGGATAGACGCTTGTTTGTAAACAATGACACGCTATGGCCATCTGACGCATGCGCAGGTGACGACTACCCCGCTTAAACTGCATTCCAAGGCCAGAGTAAAAATAAAGTAATACCTTATGACGTCATCTCGATTCGTCGTCTTAGTACCGGGCTCGTTATTCCGAGTATAAAACTGTCACGGTCCATTGAAGGACATCGAGCGACAACTTACTCAGAATAGACGTTAAATTGAATCTCGAGTGACGTCACATGAATGATCTGGGGTAAAGAACGACTATAAGACCATTCGAAATTATGAGAAATGGATAAAAGAGTATCCCTTTTCTTATCTGTACATTTTTTATTTTTCTTGAATGCGGCAACATCTTTCCCTTCCACACCTGCATGCAATTTGTTTAAGCAAATCTTTCAGCCAATCCTCCATGATTTGAAATGGTTGGCCCCTTATAATTGCTGGGTTATGGGCGGTGTAACCTTTTGGAAAGGTTACATAGACTAATTACAATAAAACTCAGTTTCAACCTAAACAGACCAAGACAAAAACCAAAATAACGACGCACAGCGACAAGTGTGCGCATGCGCATATCAATCCTTTATGAAATATTATGCGTGGTACTTCGTTTCGATTATTGATGATTTCCGTGGACGGCATTTATATAAAAAAAGAGAATAAATGACCCCCCAAAAAAGTATGTACGTTGATGCTAATTACCATGAAAATGATCAGCCATACATACGTATATCATGCCCTTAAGAAAGGGGAAAGCTTTTAACTCAGGAGCCAATCATTTGAAATTGTGGGGGTGGTAGAAATGTTGATCAGTGAATATTTTTTTTTGTACATTTTCATTTTTATTTTTCAATATTTGAAGTATTCCATGGTTTAAATGTACGCGTTAATTCTCAGTGATTTTCAGCGCTTCCGAAAGTTGGCAACAGTTTTGACTTCCCAATTTATTTCTCCGAAACTTTACCAAAGCTTTTGAATGGTGTTTCAATCTGCGTTGATTCTCAAAGAAGTAAAACAGTTAACCGTTGATTCATAACTAGTTACGAGAACACGGAGTCCGCAGGGCCAGATGAACATAGAAGATCTTCCTACTCAAGCAGAATCAATCCACTGGCTGCAATCCTAGCAGTAGGAGAAGAGGAACAGTAAATATACACGCGCGGGACGGAGATTCGGAATGGAGTCTTTTACTGCGCATTTATTATATATGGCGGTAATGGCAAACGTGTGTGCACGTTTGTTTCTCGGTAACCCGACTTTCGCTATTTATATACCCACATAATATTTTATTTCATTAAAAGAACACTAAAAACAAAGAGTTTGTATGCAAGTGATTTTGTGATTCTTCTTTTTTTTCTCTTCTAGAAGGCCAACCAATTGCTTGATAGAATATTCATTCATTTGCTTTGGCCATTTCCAACCCAACTTAGCTTTCTTTTCATTGGCTGCATTATCCTAACTTTGAAGTCTATCTAGATATGTTATGCACGAATTGTCTAAGAAAGTTATTTTAAGCCAATCTAGACCACCTAAGCTAGCAATGCTGTGCAAAGCAACATTTGTTACCCGATTTACCTCACACTACTGCTATAACTTAAAGCGGGAGAGTCGTCACCTGCGCATGCGTCAGATGGTCATAGCGTGTCATTGTTTACAAACAAGCGTCTACCAATGAGCCTTTGCGTTTTTAGTGCGTGTTGTTATCGTCGGTTGGGACTCAATTCCAACGCGTGCACAGGTGACGTCCCTCCCGCTTTAATATTGCCATAATAACATTATGCCAAAAAAACATATTCAAACTGGTTAAAAAGATGGCGATTTACTGTATGCTACAGTTTTCATGTATTGAAATGCAAATGAGTGCAGATTGAAGTTATTTGGAAAATATGTATGTGTATATAATATAACACATAATATGCATTAGGGATCTGTTTGGGATAAATCTATGTCAAATATCTGGTTTTGAAAAGGGACGTGTCGTCACTAAGTCTGTTTCCTTGTTTCCATATAAAGACCCAGATTTCAGGCATTCATATCGTTTTTTACTCTAACAACTTGCAATATCCATGTCTGACAAGAGCAAGGTAAGGAGGGGTTAAGGCCAGGGATTGTAGCGGTGTTACACCAGGGACAAAAACAGATTCGTGGATGGTATACACGAGGTGTATCTTACATATGTAATACAATCACCACAAGATAGTGTGAGTTTGTAGATCTAAAGCGGGAGGGTCGTCACCTGCGCACGCGCGAGAATTGAGTCCCAAGCGACTTTAACAACACACGCTAAACGCAAAGGCTCATGGGTAGACGCTTGTTTGTGAACATTGTTACGCTATGTCCATCTGACGCATACGCAGGTGAAGACTCCCCCGCTTTAAGTACTCGGTTTTGGTCGGACTAGCGTACTTGCTCATCACATGGACGAAATGAAACGAAGGGAATGATACACGTCATATGATTGGCTAGACGCTTTCCGTTCACATTCTTTGATTGGCTGAACGAAAGCGACAAAATGTTTGCATACTCATTTTTCTGATTTTCTGATTATAAACCCAACTCTGGTTTATAATAACCACACTGAAAATTATCAACACCTGCATGTGGCTTTGAATGGGTGAAATAATGAAATATGCAAATTAGCTGCCAGGGCGAGTACTGATGTTGGTGTTTATATTTCACAAAGACAGCATTTTTAGCACCTCTATTAATTGTTTTTCGTCAGACTTTAGGGTACATTTGACATTATGATCACACATTGCAAAACGTAGTCTTGAAAAACTAAAATGGTACTCCAATAAAAGTACAAAACGGAGAATTCTGGGTAAGTTATAGTGCTGTGTAAGCCATTCCCTAATTGATCACATGCTTAACTTGTTTTGGCTGATCAGAAGAACAGTGGTTCGAGTCCCTGACCTTGGTAATAGAAACAAATATATAGTAATTTGCCCGATCTCGCAAGTTCACAATGAGAGACCAACTACGGTCGTTGACTGCCTGAATAAACAGTGAACGGTATGGTATTGAATAGCAGAAATTTGAGCATTGGATGAATAGTGTGTCAGGGGATCGAAATTGATTAAAAAAAATGGATTACCTCGCCCATCACTTGTAATTCGCTTCCTAAACCACCTTTTTGGGAACACGATTCTGTGTTAATTTTTTTTTTAGTTTTAATCAATGTTATGATGGAGAATGATATCCATAGTCGCCATACGCGTCAATAATTCAAAAGTAGGCATGGACAATCTAAGCTTTTTTTGTGTGAAATATAGCGAGGGAGAGCCACGAATCATACTCACCACTTCGTGTCTTTCTTCAACGTGTCTGATTTCCTTCCACATTTCCAATTTTTCAGTTAAGTCGATATTAGTTAAGGGCAGTATGACCAAACCTACACATTCGTCGCGGGAATATTGGTCGAAATCGTACAGTTCAATTCTCACAGTCTGCATGTGAAGTTCGTGCTCGGGAACTTCGAAAACGAAACTTTCTTTGAACTCAGGGTCGAGCGTTTTCCGGTGCACCCGACTCTGCATCGTTTTCGTCACGCACGGTAACACCGCTATTTTGCAGTAAGGGTCCGATGTTCCGCTGAAATCACGCGGTTGCAATTCACGCGCCTCAATCAGGCGCACTGTCAGTAAATTCATCTCCTGATTGTATTTCAGTGAAAAATTCATCATGCCGATTCCCCCGTGAGAACCCGAAGATTCTGTCGAGGCTTGGCGACTTTGTGGGCCCTGTAACATGAATATTGAGAAAGCAATTACATAGACGTAGCAGTTTCTCTAAATGTGTTCTCATTTAGCATTCCGAGGAGGTATGGTTGTGAAACAGGCTCTAGTTTGAAATCGAGACTGGTTACTTTGTGATATGTAAATGTTCCTTCCACGACAACAACTCTCAAAACTACCATTCCTCCTTAAAATAATTAAAAAATATAGTAAAATGAGAAAACAGACTGAACCTACCGACGCGGAGTACATTTTGGAGGATGGGTCTATCTCTCTCAGGTCCAGACTGGCAGTCATTGATTTTCTCCTACTTTGTCGGGGGCTTAGAGTCGGCTGTGGTTGCTCTACGGTGAAGCTGTTCACACTCACTGGAGTAGTGGGAGCTAAATATACAAAACAAACAAACAAACAAGTACGTCAGTACCTGCCTATCTTTTTAAAATTTATCAGGAAGGATTTCTGCTTGCACTGAACGTCCATGAAATACATAAAGTTTTTTAATTAAACAGTAGTCACTGATATGATAAACATTTCCAACCAAACTAACGAGAATTCAAAATGCCTGTTTCGCTGGTTCCCGGCGTTCCTTTCGAGTTGTGGCTTGGTGCGCCATGACACTTGAGGCGGGAAACAGCCAACATGCCTGTAGGAACAACTAAAACAGAACGCCCTCTAGAAACAGTTCATATCTGTACTGATTTTATCGTTTCCACACGTTCGTTTGTTTATCATATCGCATTACCTGTAGTTTACTTGTATTTGAATCTATTAGACGGAGTTTCTTAAATCTTCTTAAAGCGTCACGCACGCGCGGGAATTGAGTCGCCAGCGACGATATCCTCGGGGGCGGACATCCGGGCATTTTCACCGCCTGGCAACCTGCGGCGGTGAAAACAAAGGCCCAAAACTCGCAGAAAACGGTACTTTGGGATGATTGTTGAGACTCCTCTGAACAGTGTAACAAGATTAGCCCTACGTGTGTAACATATATAAATTTGGCTGTTCGGGATTACTTCAAAGTTGAGTTTGTATTGTTTTCTCGAATTTTCACCGGCTCGACCGGCGTTCCACAGCAGCGCGCACAGAGCCCATAGAAATGCATGTACAGCAGTGCGCGTCTTAGCAACGTAGAACGTCTGTGGCGTAGTTCCGCCCCCGAGGATTAACACACGCTAAAAACGCAAAGGCTCATGGGTAGACGTTTGTATGTAAACAATGACACGCTATGGCTATCTTACGCATGCGCAGGTGACGAATCCCCCGCTTTAAGTGTATTTAATTCGGCGAAGAATTCTGTTTGGCATTTAAAATTCCTTAAGTGTGAAAAACAGGATAAATTTTGCTTTGTTCTAATAGTTGTTTGTAGCTTTGGCATAACATCGTCACTGAACCACGCTATTAATTATGTCAATTTGTACATCCGCCTTGACACATCATTCAACATTTTGAGCCAAGAATGAAGCAACCTTTATTTTAGATTATGTGTTAACAAACCTTGAATTACAAGGCTGTGACCTGGGTGTTACAGTGTTTAAGCTCAGCAACATGCTCAGTGGTGTACTTGAATTTCTCCCCCATAATGCATCCTGCATGCGCACAAGAGAAAAACTTGAAATTATATCCCATGACGCATGTCACATGCTCAGTAACATGCTCCGTAGTGCTCAACTTGAATTTCTGTCCCACAATGCATTGTATATACAACATGTTCGGTACCATACATTACTCGGTAATGAAACTTGAATTCGGCTCTTTTGGTTCTTAAAATAAAATGTAGGTATTTTTTTCAAGGCTGAGCTATTTTTGAGAAACATTTTCGCTGTAAACGAAACCCCGCGTACATACCCCCCCCCCCTGGTTAGACGAACGATAACCCCTGTTATCAAATTCATTTTACTGCCATACGAGTGACCTTTTATAAGTAATATCGATTTCGTGGAAATAAACATCATAACTCATCTCTCGATGCCTACGTGGAAAACATTTGAAAAATAAATAAACATACACGGCGGGCTTCTAAGCCAGGCACTATGTTTTGAGATAATGACCTAAAAGTAGAACCACGTTGTCGTTAAAAGTTAATTCAATACATTACCAATTGGTTGTACAACCCGAAACGCATAGCGCATAATTAGTAGTACATTTATTCGTCCTATGTGTGGGTAAAAAAAAACACGCAATAAAAACCATTTTGAATTCAACTGTCCCTAGCCTAACAGTTTTATTTTAATTGTCTGACGACAATTACCTATACCCCATAAATCAGATAATAGTTTTGTTATCGCACTTTCCAGCTATCGATAATTGTGACTTTCATTTTTCATAATATTGACATTTTTATTGGTCTGAACAGATCCCCAAATAAACAATCCTGTCTAATCCTCGGGCGGAGCTACGTCACAAGACGTTCTACGTTGCTAAGACGCGCACCACTGTACCATGCATTTCTATGGGTTCTGTGCGCGCTGCTGTGAAACGCCGGTGGAGCCGGTGAAAATTCGAGAAAACAACACAAACTCAACTTTGAAGTAATCCTGAACAACCGAATTTATATATGTTACACATGTAGGGCTAATCTTGTTACACTGTTCAAGGGAGTCTCAACAACCATCGCAAAGTACCGAGAATTTTCGGCCTTTGTTTTCACCGTGATGGTTGCCAGGCGGTGAAAATGCCCGAATGTTCGCCCGGAGAATACTTTATGATGCGCCCTCTAATGACGGAACTCCGCATATGGATTACGTATTACGAATGATGAAAAAAAAAATGTCATTCAACGCGACTACAGTGTGCGGCAGTTTTGTTGTAAGTCATCTAGGATGTAGAAAAAATATCTCAAAAACCAGAATTTGCCAAAGTACTGAATAAATTATTATTATTTTCATCCATGTACCGCTACGGGTCAAAACGATTAGCGACTGGCCTTGGAGAACGCCAGTAATGGGAAAGGTGTATTTACCGGAGCTAATTTGTATCAATCATAAGTTGATTAGTTACCATGTATCATTAAATTATTATTCCGTTTTGGCAGATATTACCGTTCAATACGAGGTTGACCTTCTTAAACTGTTTTGTTAGCTAGATTTGTTTGAAGCATGGCGATGCTCTAAATTTGTTGTTTGCTTCATGTTCGAATTTTTTTTTCGTATATAAATATAGTTTCATAGTTTAGATAAACGTGAAATGATAACCATGTGGATGTTTTAAATCACTATAAAAATGGCTACCAGTATCCCATATTATATATATAGCATAAAATTAAATTCCAGTCGATCATACTAGATCAGTATAAACATAGTCATCAGTCAATCGTACAGCTCAAAATCAGTGGACGGCATTAGATCAGTTTACAAATGTCATAATAAATCAGTACAGAAATGGCCACCTGTCGGACATATTAGATCAGTATAACAATGGCCATCAGTTGACTATGTTTAATTAGAATACATAACTCAATATGGCCGACCATATTAAATCAGTAAAATATAACCACAAGTCAATCATATTAGATTAGTATAAAAACTGGCCATAGGACGGCCACATTTGATAATTACAGAAAATACCACTGGTCGGTTACATTAAATTAGTATAAAAATGACCACAAATCGGCCATTATAAATAATATCATGACCTGTGCATAGACAGGAACGGTATGATAGTCTCTGTTTTAGGAATTTGAAAACTAAAAATAGTGTTATTTATAAAGCATGTATTTTGTACTCGAAGACATATACGAACTGATAAAACATTTAAACAATCTAGATAATACGTTGAACGCAGAGTAGTGGAGATGTTCAAGTTAAAAATTCGATATCAGCCGATCAAAAGTTAGATTACGTCCAATTCGTGTATTCTACTCTGGTTGTAGTCGATGTCGTGAAAGAGTATTTAACTTGATACGATCTTTCGGATACTCTCTTGGGCCCTGCAAGCTGGTTTGAAGATTTACTCCAATAGTCATTCATCTTTGTGTTCCCCATGTATCTGTCGTCAATTCCGCACCGTCACTGATGCCATGTAAATTCACCACAATGCAAATTAGCTAAGTCACGTGAGCATCTGTTCATTCTACGTAACCATGGTAGCATTCTTTTTAAGTTTGTTGACATCCACTACTACCTAGGATTTACGTTTTCATCAGATGGGTTGGACATTGCTGCCATTATGAGACGACGTTTATACGCCCGAAGTAACGAGTGCTCTTAAAGAGGGAGGGTCGTCACCTGCGCACGCGCGGGAATCGAATCCCAAGCGACGATAACAACACACGCTAAAAACGCTAAGGCTCATGGGTAGACGCTTGTTTGTAAACAATGACACGCTATGGCCATCTGACGCATACGCAGGTGACGACACCCCAGCTTTTAATGCCGATTTCATTTTAAAGTTTTTAATTCTCAAATATGTATTGCCTATATACTTTTGGTCATATTTTGCTTATTACAGCATTTTAAGACTTGTCTGCAATGCGAAGCGTTGGTCTAGTCGCGTTTCTGTGAGCTTTGTCAAATTCAATGTCGTTTTTTACTGTTAAGCTATACAAGAAGTATTTCAACCTCTCGGGGAGAACTAGAAACATCAAAAGTTCTATTCTGTCAGGTGATTTGAATAGTAACTTGTTTTGAAGTCGTAGTATCCGAGTGAATGCTAGTACTAGTCAATCCAACCTCCCCATCGTGTCAGTCATTTGTATATGGGCACTGTACGTGTATTAAACAACAATTGAACAATTGAATATCGTAATTTACATCATACATAAACATTTTCCCCTGATTTGCGCAACACGGTGGGCGTGTGCACATCGTATTGATACCTGTTGTCAGCGATCTTTTTTCTAGCACATAAGTGACCACAATCGCCTCTTTGAAAATTGTGCATCCGATATTTCATACTAAATAACATTGGATGGTTGCCATCAGCATCATGTGACATTAAAATGCCTACCCCTGGGGAGGGAGTTGATTGCTGCGCGTCGAGAGATATGGGTTGGGTAATGGTTTTTATTTAAATACAAATGTCTTTTTAAATAAATAGATTGGTGAAACATTCATTTCGTAATTACTCAGCAAATTTTAAATTGCTAAGAGTCACTTTGCAATAGTTAATGTGCAATTTCAGGTATAAGATGAAAATTTATTTTGAGAAAATTTGACAGATATTAAGCAGTTTTCATTTCGTAATGATAAATGCCAATCCCCCAAAGACCCTTCACGCCAACATTCGCCACATTAAACTTAACAATCTTTATTGTAATCTTGATCAAATTTACTGTCAATAACGGTTTATACACATAAATCATAAGCTGTATTAACTAGACAAGACCGTATAATTGTGGTAGAAAAAAATTATAACTTTGTATGAATTAATTTTTACTTACTGCCTGGAATAACAAACTCCTTCGGTTCCCCTGTGCCCCCTCCACCTGGAGTTAAAAGTTCAGGAGGAGTTTTGTCTCTGAAATAAAGGACAGTATAATAAAAAAAATGATGGCCAGGTAATTCGCTGGCGTTGTTTTGTATAAACTGGCGACAAAGAGTGTTACGCACGTTTAAAGGGTCGACGTCGGAGAACGTATAAAACAGCATGATCGTGCTCAACAATGGGATTCATTTTGGATCCATTGTTTTTTGTAATGCATGTTTAATGTAAATAAATGTGAAATAAGCGTGGATGTCAATGATACGAAATTATGTGTGTGGCCACGGTGAGAGAGCATAAACTTGGCATTTAGAGAACGTACTTTGTCAATACTAAGTAAAGATTTTATGTTTCTTTTATGATGATCGGTATAAAATAACGGTTGGAAAAATTAAACAAATTCAACATAGATATCAAGGGGAATGCTATACAACACATAGAACGTTCTAAATACATGGGTGTCAATTCATAGACTGAATTCAAGTTTGTCATGGAAATCAACATGTGGCCAAGAAAAGTGAGGTACCGCGCTTGCTTACTTGTTATAAATAGGTCAATACCTATTCAAATCAAATACGCCGTCAAATACGTGTTTAGTCAATAACGCAGTCATAATGATTATTAAAAACTGGCAAAGTTATGGAGGGATTCTCGTAGTAGAGACAGTGTTCTGTTCGCCATATTGTACTGTAGTTTGATTCCTCGTGCTGTCATGGTTACATTCAGTCGTCAACATGACGTCATCATTCATGCGCAGTTTACCAACGACAGTACATGAAATCACTCAAAGAAACAACATGATCGTTTGCCGCAAATGTGAAAATAATACAGACTAATGGCTGAATGTCAATTGTAATTCTGACATTTTAAGCCCGAACATGGAATATCATTATTTTCTCTCCTGATCTATGAATACATGTAATTATTTCAAACGCAGTTTTGACGATCGATACAGTACAATTTTCCACAGAAACCATACCAATGGCAGTGTTTGTTTTGTCACGTCTCACAACTGAAATTTCAAGCTTACTTTGGTTTGGCTGTAATATGCGTGTAGGACACTTGTTTCGCTGATTACAGATTTCTGATTATCTGTAATTAGCGAAACGAACCGTTTACTAATTGAAATCCCGCTATTTTCGACAAATGTTTTATGTACTACGGTAGTTATATACACGACTGAAAGGTAAATATACTGGCCAAGTTTTGACAGACAATTGTGAATATTGTACGTGTAGGACACTTGTTTCGCTGATTACAGATTTCTGCTTATCTGTAATTAGCGAAACGAGCCATTTACTAATTAAAATATTGTTATTTTCGGCAAATATTTTGCAAATATTGTGCGTATAAAACCCATTTTCTCTGATTACAGTTTAATCTTTATTATGTTTGTCATCCAGTTTCATTTTGTTTCGTTTCTTCGATTACAATAAAGCCGTTCGATGCAGCCTCAGACTAGTAAGACAATTTTTTGTACTACCAGTCTGAGATGCAGCACATTGCATTTCTGGTGCACGTGAAAATAAGCTCGATTGCGACACCATAATTGTAGGCTCGTTCGCACGCGGATTTAGAGGGAGGCGCACCAGCCCCCCCCCCCCTTCAGCCCGCAAAAAATTGACAAATCAATTGACAAACGCAGCCCACCGGATGTCTACTTCGGCCACGTCAATAGGAGCGTGTACCCCAATCTCCCAGGCAGAGTTCTATTCCACGAATATATCTCTGCCACCACGCGATCTTATGCTTGTCGTTGATTGGTCGATGCGTCACAGTGGCACTACTTTCAAAGGCGCCCAACAAAACATTGCCATGCAAGTGTTCGATTTTCGAACCTGACGAATGTGTACGCGTTGTTTGCAGATTT